GATTCTTTTGAAATCAATAAACAAAAAAACGACCTAATTTTTCTTTGAAGGTTAATTTTTCGTGTTCCTGAGGCTTTGGCACTCAATAATATATTTTTTATGTGTCAAAAGTGTATAATAAACGGAAGAAAAAAAAGTGTGCATGCAAATTTTACTGCTCTTTATGATTATTTTTTAAAATTCAGTGGTAAGGATACCTGAAGTGCAGAAGGGTCAATACTTTTTGAAAACCTTAAGCTGCAGTGTCGCTCACAGCAGAAAGTGTATTTCTTAAGTTAAAAAAAAAGCTTTATATTTTTCACTTTACGTTTGCCAATTTTCTGCAAACCAAAGAAGAGCTATATAGTTTATTAACAGCTGATATTTACAGTTTAGTGTAGGCAGGGGTTTCACTATGTTATTATAAGAAGCTTTCTATGACTTGCCTTATGTTAGCTTCCTGTTGCTGATTTCTCTTCAACACAGGCAGTCATCTTAAATCAAATTTACTAGACAAAAAAATCAGGCTGCTTTTTTGCTCTCGTTCATAGCAAGACAGGCTTTAAAACGGTAGTTGCTACCAGGGTAAATTTCTTTATTTTAATTGTTTCGACGTCACTCTGCATGCAAACCACATGTGATCTTTACCGGCAAAGAAGAACACAATTTTTCTCTATTCGAAGCTGTTTTTGAAAAATTACATGTTAATTAACATGAATATAATCCTGATGACTCTATATTTCATAATTTTAAGTTTCCAAAGCTTAGTTGATGCATCTGTCACAAAGACGTCAACTATTAGCCGAAATGGAAAGGTTACTTTTGTCGGAATAAACAGCACCTCTCTGAAACCTTATTGCCCGAAAAAAGTGAAAAAAAAAGTTAGTAAAGTTGAGTGTGCAAAAATGTGCGTTAGAGGGAGTTCTTCTTGCTTAGCTATTGGATACACTGAGGACAGCTGTATTTTGTGGAAATACGTGATGATCGAGGAAGATTCGCCAATGACTGAAAACTTCTATTTGAAGGATACTTCCAACAGGTTTGACAACACTACTTGCGTAGAAAAGTCTGCGATAAACTATATAGGTAATTGTATAATTATAATTTTCTGTAATCTATTAGGTCGCCTAGAGGTAAAACTAGAAAAATACAGTAAATAAAATTTTTTAGTAAGACTCAATTGGTTACAAAAATTGTTTTTTCTGGAATGTAGTAGAAGCAAAATGAGGAAATAAAAGGTGGACATATATGCTACTCTTGTTTCGGTCTACGTGTCTCTCAATTTTGCATGCAAAACACTTATCTTTAAATTTATTTTTTAGAAAGTTTATGAGATATAACTGTAGCGCTTCTTTGCAGTGAAGCAGCAGGCTGCAAACTGTTCTCATCCTCATATAAGTCCATCAGAGATTCCCGCTTGTTATTTCGAAGTGCGTTTCATGTTGACTGTCACAAAACTTTTTTAAGACATAAAGAAACCAAAATGTAAAGGTTATTAAAAAATCCAAATCTTAAAAAAATACGTCCTTTGGAACTTAATGCTATACAGAACTCGTATTGACATTCAACTGACTCGACCATTCAAAGAATTTTATGAAAGCTCAGTTCTTACATTTCAAAATAGGAATTTTTTTATTAGATCTTATCTGCTTTATCCTATTTTTGCTGTGTTGGAACTAAGAAAATATTTGTAGGTAGAGAAAAACTTAAACTACTCAGAAATTTCAAAGATATGTCAGCAACATGAGATGCATGTTACCTCGGTTCTGTCTAGGAAAGAAAACGATTTTTTAACGACATTCTTGACGGCTTTGTTTTTCCAAGCTTCTTCTAAAACACTCTTCAAAGTTATTAAATTGTTCAAAAGTAGATTAAAACTCAAATAATTCTAAAAAACGTAAGACATTTTGGAAGGTAATAGTAGCCATATGTATAGAAATTTTTTTATTTCAAATACTTTATTGAAAGAAACAACTTTAAGGGAATCGTTTCTTACAAATGCAAACAATTTCCAGCATATATCAAATTTTTTAGAAAGCTTCTTTTACCTACACGACAAAATTGGAACATAGCCGGTTAATACTATTATATTTGACGTAGATTTTAAGGAAAATACAATACTAGTTTTGAGCATTTTCTTGGACTTACCGAACAAGGTACATGGAAAGACGTTTCACCGACTTCGTTTACGAACGGTTCGTTCAAATGCCCAGTGGCAACTACTAAGTTTGGCTGGAAGAGCCGCACGAATACTCAACGCTATGGGATTTGCAAAAGGTTTTTTTCCGATTAGAAACTATAACAGTCAGGACACCACACGCTGTTT